CTCCCCCCCCCCCCCCCCCCCCCCCCCCCATTTCTCCCTCCCCCTTGTTACTACCTGCCCAAACGCAACTGATAAGAAGGGGATGCTGGTTTAATTTATATTTTCAGCTGTACCTTATCGGGTACTTGAGCTATAGATATCAGAAGTATTTCCTTTTCCGACAAAGGTGCAGTACTTCCTCGGACTGGAACACCTTGAAAAACGTTTCACTTTTTCCTTCAGATGGAAGGATGAGGCGGGAATTCTCTGTCGCTTTTCAGCCCGAACCTTGTCGCTGGATTAGATATTATGCGATTCCGCCGCTAATTTCTTGCCATTCTTGGTCAGATATTGCGGATCGCTTCACCTCAGATCTCGAACCGAGTAAGCAACTCAACAGCAAAGTTTAGCGACGTTTAGCGACGAAATCGCCGAGGGGAGGTGCCCGGAACAAGAGGTTGCTGCCGTCGGAAAAAATGTCCAACAGATGTTGAGAAAATGCCCTGCAGCCGTTGAAGAACAATGGTTCTTTTCGCTTTCTTGTCTCGGTCGTCCTTCGTCTATCTTGTCTGTCTCGGTTCCAGGCTTTTACTTCGGGCTGTTTCACGGCCGCATAGGAAAGCTCAGAGCGGCATAATCCGAAATATCGAGAACCGCAAGAAATTCGTGACTATATCAAAAGATGAAGTTCGAAGGCCAAAACGAGGAAAGAAATATCGCACATTTTTCAGATGATAGTGGAAATGTCGATGATTTGCTTCTGGTTACGTGAAAAAAATCAGTGTTTATTTTTCATGTGCTTCTCTCCCTTCGTTCCCTTGTGTAAAAAATTTGCGAGGTGATCACATTTCTCATAAGCGCAACTACAGCATATTTAGACGTTCGAGATTGTATCCGGCACATTTCACTCGAAGACGAGAAAATCTGCATATTTCAAGACGTTCGTAATCGAACGAGCACATCTCTCCAACGTCCCCCTCAATGCCACCCGCATATCAACAGGTGGATTCGCGATGCAGGCTGTCAACAGGAGGACACGAGGTGCAAGACTGCCAAGGCCGAGATTCCAGCGAGCCAGCCACAACAAACACGGGCGCATTCGACGATCGTGACGTCATCCGGTCAACTGGTTCGCAAACGCATCCTGGAGAAAGCTCTGCAAACAAAAGGTGGATGGATGCACCCGGTACCTACCTTACCTCCCGGTACTTACCTTACCTCCCGGTACTTACCTTACTTCCTGGTACTTACCTTACCTCCTGGTACTTACCTTACCTCCTGGTACTTACCTTACCTCCTGGTACTTACCTTACCTCCTGGTTACAGGGTGCTTGTAACCACTTCATTTTCGTTCACGTCGTGGGTGGAATCCAGACGCTCTTTGCGCTTTCGATGAAGACATGCGTTAACACGTTCGCTGAGTCGACGCCAAAACAAATAAACCACTTGCGTGTCAAATCATAATTTTCGGATTTCTTTGACGTATGGCATTGGCATTGCAATCTTCTAGCTGTGGATGTTTGGGATATGTTTCGTTCTTGCAAGATTTCTGACAAAATTTCAGCTGGAAAGCGATTTAATTATAATGATAAAACGAGTTGGAAGGCATTTCCTTCTTTAGGTACTTGAAGAGATTACGTACCTGAGCGATAAAAAAGACTCGAGTATTGGCAATATTGACAGTGTACTTGAGTAATGGAGCACTTCAGGGCTGAGACAGGCTGGTAACTTCGGTACACAAGTCATTAGACCCCATGACTGCATCAATCTGTACGCTCGCAGGCTTAAGCGTCACACGAGAAGAGCGGTTTCACTGCTCTTTCTGGCTCAAAGGACATCGGACGAG